ACATCATCAAACATCCTCTTAAATGTTCCAAGGTCCTAAACATAATCACATTGATCACACAATCTATTAGGACTAAGAGATTATATAAAGTTCAAGACTAGCTTTCTTGAACTTAACATTTTCCTTTAATTTTTGGATTAATATTCTAGCTTTGTAAAAATTATTCTCTTAGGCCAATCTTACACAATTTTTCCCAAGGAATTCAAATAAGAGCTTAGATTAATGAAAATCCAACTCCTTCCCCAGAAATCAGTATTGGCCGAATAGGGGGTTTTGAAATCCAAAAATTCTAACTTTAATTCCAATACTTTCAATACTTGTTCTTTAGGTTTACCCTATACCGTTTTCCATTTTGAACCAATTGGAAGTCTTAGAATCATCAAAATCACATACTAGGGTGTATAACTAGGTTTGGTCGAACACTACCCTTCCTTAAACAGTCATGAAATCTTTCACATGTCAACACAAAACCACTTAAAACAACCTTGAACCAATATGTTTTAACTAGATATAACATTAAAATCATCCTCCCCTAAACTTAAATAAATTCGGCTAGCACCTCTCCTTAAGGGATTTCACATTTTTCAACTATCAAACTCAAGAATACAAAATAAAATACAAGGTAGAACATAAAACTAACCTTGTATCCAAGCTTAGGTGGATGGTTTCCTCTTGATTGATTTTCAAGACACAATTTTACAAGAGTTTCACCCCTTAAACTCATCTTGGCCAAAAAATGAAGGGGGAAGAGGCTCTATTTATAGCTAAATTTGGCCTTGAATGGACTAAAATGCCCTTGATAGCTAGTAGAAAGTGTAAGGGTAATTTTGAAACTTTAAGTAACCTTTTACATCATCATTGCCTCACCTTCTTATCATCCCTTACATTATTCTTCTAGAAGGTGCTAGCTGTAAAAAATGTGATGGAGGAGAAAGGAGATTAAATCCTAGCCATTGGATCAAAACTTAATCCCTAAGTTTTCTTCCAATTTGCTTGGCTCATATTTATCTAACTTTCTTGATGGCCTTCCGGAGCTCAGAAAATTCTTCTGTCTACTCCATAAATTCCCTTTAATTCTAGAGAATATCTATGAATTTTCTCGAGCCATAACACTTCCTTGAAGCCTTGCATAAAAATCATTTATTAAAATACCCTTTTATAGGCATAATCGGCTTTTTACTTTATTAAAGCCATTCCATTAGCCTATTAGTTGTGGGACTAATTTTATAAATTAGTACAACCTTATAACTATTTAACCGCATTTTTGCGTATATTTTTTAGGTCTCTTGCTATCAAACAGTGTACTTTTTATCAGTCATCACCTTATAAATTTCATTTAAGTTGCCTCATGGATATTTTCATCATTTCTCTTCACAAAAGAGTCTTAGAATATTATTTCTCATTTTTTGAGATTTTTCTGGAATTTTCTGTATACTTTCTATTTTTATCTTTAATGGTTTGTACTTCTCTGAATTTACAGTTTTACCCCTACTTGGCCTCAACCTCATAAAATCATCTCTTTAAGGCTTCTAACTTAACCTTTGGCCTGTATCTAACCTCTTTTCTCTTTTTTGGGCCTTTGAGACTTTACTGGAGCCTCTGTCTTTGATTACATTTTAGCCCCTGAAAACCTTCATTTTACAGTTTAGTCTCTGAAACTGCTTGGACTTCCTTTCTCATTTTTGGGACCTTTGTTAAAAAGGAGTCTCATAGCCTATCCAATTTAGGCTATTTTTGGTACTTCTAGACTTAAAAATCGGGATGTTGCACCCAGGCTTTCTACCATAAAAGCAGAATTGGCATCCACCAGCTTCCCCACCCCTCCCAAATATCTGCCTGCCCAATCCCTGCTAATCATGCCAATAGCAACCCTTCTTGTACTAAGCAGCATCTATATTTACTTGTACTACCCCTACCATTGGTTTTCTCCTGCTCAATTGGCGATCCAAGCTCTTATCTACAACTACTGTTCTTCTCTTCTTTTCTGCTACTTTGCAGTGGTCTCTAATCAATCTCAAAGCACCTGCAACACACAAATAAGCATCAATATCCACATGTTCAAACAAGAATTTGCACCTAGCTTTCCAAATTCCCCAGCAGATGCTGCTAAACATAGCTCTCTAATAATCTTAAACTTTATCTCCTTCTTTAAACCAGTCTTCTAACCATCTATGATTTCTGAAATCCCCCAAATCTTCAAATTTCAAAGGCAGGGGAGACCCAAACTAGCATTGCACAGCCCAAGGACAAAGAAAAAGAACATGTTCAACGATTTCCACATGCGCCTTGTAAATTTTGCACTTTGGATCCAAAGAACATTTCTTCTTGAAAAGGGAGTCCTTTGTTGCCAAAGCTCCATTCACTGCCTTCCAGAGAAAATGCAGAACCTTAAGCGGCATATTAATTTGCCATATTCTGTTCCACAAAATTTTTGAAGATTTATAAGAGGCACTTGGGTTAGTGCTCTTTTTTACCTCATCTTGCTTTAAAGCCACCTTATATCCCAACCTAACAGCATAAGTCTCGTCTCTACTATTTTTCCAAATGATCTTATCTGCAACACCAATCATTGGAATTCTGGTTTTACTAATTTCATTCTTGTCTTCATCCACAAACCAATCATCAAAACCTTCAAAGCACCACTCCCCATCTTTAATTAGATCCATCACACATAACTTCTTCATTTCTTCAGAAAAAACTCTATTTCTCAACTTTCCCTCATTTGATTCATGTAGCCAGCTATTAGTGAACACTTTAATTCGTTCACCATTCCCCAACTTCCAACCAAGATTCTTTTTCAAAAGTTCTCTTCCCTCTAAAATACTCTTCCATCCCCAAGATGCCTTACTACTTTTTTTAGCTTGTAGAAAATCAGTTCCAGCAAAGTAGAGTCCCTTCAAAATCCTACACCAAAGATGATCAGGAATTTGAATAATTTGCCAAGCAGTCTTGGCCAATAAAGCTTTGATAAACACTTCTAAACTTCTAAAACCCATACCTCCCTTACTCTTCAACTGACTCATAACCTTCCAAGCTTTCCTATGAATTCTACCCTCTTACTCTTTCTATCCCCACTAGAAATTAGAGACCACGCTGTCCAACTCACCGCAAACCTTCCTTGAAAACATGAAGGAGGTGATAGGGTAGATTGGAATAGTGTTGGCTACAACTTTAATAAGCACTTTTCTTCCTACAAAATTTAATAACTTCTATTTCCACCCCTATAACTTCTGACCCATCTTGCAATTCACAAAAGACAAAGCTTCAACCTTCAACTTACCCCAGATCATAGGGAGTCCAAGATGCTTGCCAGGGTCCTCTGGATCATTAATCCCTAATTCCTCATAAACATCTAATTTCATTACGTCACAGATGTCGTTTGACAAGAAAATACAAGATTTCTCAAAATTTATGGCTTGACCAGAAGCTTCACAATAGCAATCTAGAATTCTTTTCAGCATTCTACAGTTTTGCCTTCTAGGTAAACGTGTAAATTTAACCCTTTAATGTTACATAATATTTCATTTTAATTCCTTAGTTTGTAAAATATCTTTCTCATCGTTTAAACTTGACATCACGTGTTTCATTATTAAAAAGCATCATCTTTAAAATTTTAAATGTTGACAAATTACTTTTAAATACTGATATATTAAGTTTAATTTTTTCAAACACGAAAAAGGGAAAAAAATGGGTTGAAACTAAATTTAAAACTAATGTTGTTAAAGGTTATGTGACTAAGTTATCAAAGAATAAAACTAGAACATTATATAAAGTTAGAAGACTAAACAATGGCTTAAATATCTTGGTTCAATTATCTAATCATACTACTTTTAGTTTTTAGGGTTAAGGATAAAAAATACCTAGAAACTTTTACCAAAAGTTTACCTAACACTATGAACTTTCTTTAAGTTCAAATCCACCCATGAAAGTTTAAAAAGAAGTCAATAATACCAGCGCCGTTAACGTCTATTTTTTTAGTTGTGGGATCCATGATTTTTTTAATGAAATTACTAAAATACCCCCATTCAAAACAAAAAAAAAAGTTAAGGGTCAAAAATACCGAAAGTATAAGTTCATGGGTATTTTTTACCATAACTTTTTTTCATTTGGGGTATTTTGGTATTTTCATTTTTTAAAAAAATGGGTCCCACACCTTAAAAAACGGACGTTAACATCGCTAGTATTATTAACCTCTTTTTAAACTTTGATGGGTAGATTTGAATCCAAAAAAAATTCATGATGTTGGGTAAACTTTTAATATATTTTTATGAGTATTTTTGACCCTTAACCCTAGTTTTTAATATAAAAGTCACTTAACTAATTTGACAATATAAAGAAAATTAGTTAAGTTAATTATTTATATCAAATACTAGTTAATTTTCTTACAATATGCTTTTTAATTATGGCTACCTTAAAGAGAAACCCCCTTAATATGTGTAATCAATAAAGATACCTTGAAAAATGAATTATAAATTTGGAATACAAAAGGAATTGAGATCTTATGCTTAGAACCAAATCTAACTCCTGACTGGCTTTTATTTTAAGTATGAAAATGTTCAATAAGAATAAAATGTGGCACATGCTCAACAATTTTAGATTCACACTCGAATTTCCACAACACTAGATACACACATTTCTGTATCAATTATGTTTTCAGATCAGAATAAAAACTCTAGTCCAATGAGTTATATTTCTGTGCCTCATGCTCTCCTGGCAGTATCAGGATAGTACAGGACCAGATGATCAAAGATAAAATCAGAATGCCTAATCCATTCATTCAGTATTGAAAGGGATCCAAATCTTTAACCTTCAGTAAATTTTTATCATTCTTTTTCATTGAAATAACTCTAACTTTCCATTACATTCTCTGAAATCAACTTCCCAACCATAAGTGTTCTGCCCAGTAACTGTCCTTAGAATCCCAGTTCAATTCTACCAAGGAAAAAATTGTTCAAATAATGTCCAATATATAACATACATAAGAACTCAAAGAAGAAGGGGCACTGTAACATCTGTCTGAATTGCCAAATCTATATATTGACAGTTAAAAACATTACAAAATGGGGGCATAGTTTTATACACATATGGACAACAACAGAAACAAAACAAAGACCTAAAAATTAAAGGATAATACACAATCATACTGACAAAATATCTGTACGTAATTTCACATATCTCTCTTATCAAGCTGCTTGATAAAAATATGACCAGTATATAATTTTCAATGATAATATACAATTGTAGAGCTTTTTGTGAAAAGTCTCATACAACTATACCATATTGAAAACGTATATACTTGTCATATTCTAATCAAAAACCTAATAACAAAGATATGAAGAATCATCCCCAAGTCTGCTCCCAAAAACAGTCCACAAAAAATTCAAAACCGTTGTTTGTCATACGTTCACTGGTTATCCAAGCAGGTGAATACTACTGAAAGACCTTCATGGGGTCATTAGGGTCAATATCAGATATCAATGGAAGATCTACAGGCAAAGCTTCTACGCTCAATCCTTCATCTCTGAGCTTCCTGATTACTTCCTCAAAAACAACTTGGTTGCCACTTTGGGTGAGATGCAAACCATCACTGCATTTCAAGTTTATAAAAGAATACATGTCAATGTTAATATCAGTCTCAACAACGAATAGAATAGTCCAAAGTACTTTACTACCCAAAACCAGAACCACCTCCTAGCCTTTGTGTTTATTTCTTTGAAATTTCTAGTTCAACTTCATATGAGTCAAATTCAAATGGGGAACGGCACTACAATCCCAAAAGATTAATTTGATAATAGTTAGGTCCCAAAAAAATTTTGCTGAAAAATGAGTTGCAAATATTGTTTCAAACAGTTGCAAATACAGGAATTTCATATGCAAAGCGGGCATTTAAATCTTATAGGTTATTTCCAATGGTCTGCGACTGAAATTCTCATATTTGCAACTATCTTAATTGATATTGACAACTGATTTTTTAGCAAAATTTGTTGGAACCTAACTGTCATTGAATTGATCTTTTTGGACCTAATTGCCATTCCCCCACTTCAAATTCCAATAAAAAATTTACAATCAGCAAATAATTATTGAAGACAACTTTAGATGAGAAGCCTATTAACTTTACTTAAATCATTGGCTAGCAGCATTTAAATAGTACCAGTGCCAGTCTTGTCACCAAAATAAATAAATATAAAAATAAATAGTGCCAGTCTAAAGTTAACTTTCAACTATTCTTGGTTTCCTCAGCTTAATTTTCAGCCTGCGCTTTTTTTCCCCCTCCTTTTTTTTAAAATTTTAATTTGAGGTAAAAGCACTTAAGTGCATTGTCTAATAAAGGATGGACAAGCATCCCCAGCAATATCAAATACGATCCTATTAGAATGACGAAGAGAGACATAAGATTGTTGCCTAGTAGAACACGTGTGTAAAAAAATAAAAATAAAAAAAGGTTGGGCACATGTGTGTGGGTCCCACTTCGTCTCGCTTGTCTAGTAAATGCCCCTGCAATTAAAAGAAGGGACACGAAAAGGGAAAGCCAAAACCTTACACATCAGAACTCACTTTCACAAACTCAGTCAGGGGAAAAAAAAAAAAAGAAAAGAAAAGAAAAGAAAAAAGAACTCACTTTCACAAACACCTAGAGGAGAATTTGGATTCCATGCCCATCTTCTAATCTATACCATCTACCTTAACGTGGGATGGTTCAGATCCTATTTTATTCTTAATTTCCAATATTTCTCATTTTAACATATATATAATGTTAAATAAAGATAACTTTCTAACTGCTGATTTTTTAAAAATGCAGTTTCAACTTAAAAAGCTAAAAGGGAAAATTTAAATTTGGACAGTCCAAATCAATTTCAAAGATGAGCAAATCATTGAGCTAAGCTCTAAATCTGGACGCATACACAGTGGATTGTTAACACCATTCAAAATGAACTAAATAACCAAAATTTGCTAAAACGGCCATTACTTTTCTGTCTCAAAGTGAGAGGATCCAAAGGTGAGGAAGAGTCACTAAAACAGCCACTCTTTTTTTTTACAATATTTGCTCATCTTTTATCTTCAACCAAACCATTCCCAGAAAATAACTCACAAACTAAACAAAATCATTGCAGTGCATCTTATCTATTTACATGAGCTAAACATAGATCTAAACTTCAGTAGTAAAACCTCATAGGCGTAACATTTCAAACTCAGGGCAATTCAATTTACAGAGAACATAGAAACTAGTATGGACAAGATTCACAGAAAATATAGACATTAGTATGGACAACATGACAATGGAACTTAAGTGTTCATCTATAATTTTAGAATTCACGCCACGTATGATGCAACTGTCAAACACGAGCACTTCTTATCTGTAAAAGTATGCATGCTTCATAGATCCAGTCATTATTAATTAAATTTTAGGAAAAGCAGACTTGAATCCTCAAAAGTACCTTACAAGATACCATTGGAAAGAGTCATGTAAAGGAGTGGGATACCATTATCAAGATGGGACCACCAGGGTGGACCCCTCCCCTTCCCCATGTCTGTGTCTGGGTCTCCAAATTGATACTTTCAAATTTCTATTCAATTAGATGATCCAAATCCAGAGCAAAAGCATCAGACAGAGACAACCTCACATCATCTCATGTTTATTGGGACTGCCATTTAGAATGTTAACTCGATGTTCTACAATTGAAGAATGACCATATGATCTAAAAAATAAAATAATGTAATAAGAACCTTAAATATTCTTTTTTCCACTCAGGGAAGTGCTGCATTTTAGTCCAGAGGTCAATGACAGGTACTCCACATTCTCCAGCAATAGCAGTGCATGCTCTGGCATATTGGCCAGCAGCTTCATTTGTCCTCTCTGGAAGGCCCTGCTTATTCTCAACATAAGGATATCTGCAGCAAAGGATTTTACAAAATCTTCCACCATAAATAACCACCATTTTACCCATAAACATTATGCAAAGGGGAAAGAAATTTGTCAATATCAGTGAGGGCGACTAAAGGGACTAATGAACCATACCTTAAGCGTGCATCTTCATCAATTGGAGGAGGTGTTATGAGGAGCACGTGGGTATTAGGCCATTGCCTCTGCAATGCAAAAATAAAGCCATCAAATTTTAATTCTAAATAATTCTACAGACCTAGGGGGTGTTTGGATGGAAACAAAACTATGATTTTAAAAGTGATTTTACGGTATACAAAGTAAATATGTGGAGAGGTTTATCTCGATTTGCAGAAAAAGTGCTTCTAGAAAGCACTTTTGAACCTAGCCAAACACCCCTCTAATATATAGTAGTACTGAAATGGAGCCTTTGAATCACGAGGTTAGATTGGTTGAAAACACAAATTTAAACAACATATAGATTCCTTTGAGTCAGTCAGATACTGGAACTACAACAGAGTAATGTTTGATACAAGACTTGAAAGCCAAGCCTGTTCTATTGATATAACAGGCAAAAAGCATTCAGCATTACCAAAATACCCACCTTAACTTAGAAATTAACATATCGCAATTAAGATCCAGAGATATAATTAACAATATCTCTATAAGTTGAACTAGAAACAGAGCCTTTTGCATTAACAGTCATCTGATTTCATCTCAGAAAAACATAAGTGAGGATACTAATTAATTGTTGTAAGCAAACCTCAAGGAGTATGTCAAACCAAGAACATCACATGTTTAAACTCATCTAATTTTCTCTTCGTTTCTTCCCCTCACTAATTTTTGTGGGTGAACATAATCCATAATCATAAACTTCACATCAAAACAAAATAAACCATTGGATTAGTCAAGATTCATTGCGCCAGTGGGCTTCAGAAAGAGTAAATTGGCACATCTACATTCATGCATTTGAAAAGAGAATGACACTAAGGAATATGACAATATGTGGGGTATACAATCCATCTTTACACATATCACCTCTTTTTTTCTCTATCTTTATGTGAATAGTTTATACATATTCACACAAATAAATGTAGAGATCCACATTCCTAAAAAGGTTAATAAGCCTCCTCAAAAGGCCACAAGATTATAATAAGAATGCAAAAGCAATACCTAACTAGCCATCTGTAGTTCAACCCACGGTCCCTCTAAGAAGAGAGGCTTTACACCAAATGGTTGGTGGGGATTCAAGTGTGCAATATAAAGCATGGGATCAGTCTACTTTTCACAAGGTAATCATGATCAAGTGGCAAGCCCCGCCAACACAAACACTTACAGGCCACAACCACTGCATGCTTGAGGAATCATTCCCTGATGGGGCCCACTTCATAGCTCCCACAGCCATTTTTGACCAATCGAGCAAAGCAACATAAATCATAGAATACCCATCCCCACTAAGGCATAAATGATTAGTCCTTTTCGGATTTGCACTCTCCCAATTAAAAAACTGAGCCGATCAGTTGACTGAAAAATTGACAGCCAAATCAAGCAAAAGGAGTTCAGCACTAGGCAAGATTTTCTTTTCTCCGTTTGTTTCTTTTTTTTTTTTTTTTGGGGGGGGGGGGGTTGGATACACCAGTAAATAATAGACCATTAAGAATGCACTAGATAGTTGTACAACAACGTGAATTTTAACATTTGTGCCGTTTACTTTAGCAGGTGGGATCGATTTAGTGAATAACCATATTTTATTGCCAAATTCATCTCAGGGATTGATATTCTCTAACATTAGCAAAATATTTTTTGGTATTAAAGTTAGAAAAAACGAGATATATATTTATATATATAGAAAAAGAGAGATGTAGACACCAATAGACCCGGATCCTCTATTTCTCTTCTTATTGTCCCTTGAATAACTGGATGAGATCTATGACTGTCATAGAAATTGAATCAGACATCAAATAAGAGAATTTATCAAATAACAGTTTGAAAGGATGAGGTAATAAATATAAAAACAGAATAATAAATTAACTGTAAGATATATATATAGTTATATTACGATAATAATGTCTAAACTTTAAAGTTGGGACTTTTAATTAATAATAATTAATAAAAAGTCAAAGTGCAACCCAAGTAAACGCTAGGAAATAATTAGGTCACCCGTATACAGGGACCCAAATTTGAAATTGCAGCCGAATGCTTCAAAAATCCATTGGGATCAGATCATCAGACAAACCCCCTCTCGCTCTCTTTCCCAACCAAACTTTCGACTTTAAAGATTCTTAGGCATCCAAGTTCATCTTCTAGCGAATTTGCACTACATTACAATCTAGTATTAGCATTGCTGATGATAAGCATGCCATCAACTTGAACACCAAAGGACCAAAACCTGTGTCATTTAACAAAAACTGACCATTCCAGTTGCAACAGCTTCCAACTTTCTTATCCCAACGATATAAACGTGAGAGAGGAAGGTTACCTTGAAGAAGGAGACAATAGAGTAAAGGTTGTGCTTATATTCATGGAGAGGCACGTGCTGAAACGCTGAACATCTATCTGGAAGACTAGCGTCGTTAGCCCCAAAGAACACAGTCACAGCAATTGGTTCGCTTTCATTATCAATTCCATTTCTACCATCACCGTCTCGTTTCTCAGGGAAGACTCTGTCCAAAACCTTCAGTGCCCATCTCGTATTATACCCACTGTACCCTCTTAGCACCACATCGACCTGATCATTGGTCAAAACCCCAAGTGGAAAAAAAAAAAAAACAAGAAGAAGAAGAGCAAAATACATAGCGCAATGGATCAAAACCAGAACAGAGAAACAGAGCAAAGACGCAAAACAATCAAATAGTCTGTATTTGACTTGGCTGATACCGTGCGAGAGAAATGATTGGCGAGAGAAGCACCCCAACCTCCGATGCCAAAGGACTCCTCAGTTATGGAATCACCGAAAAGATAAATCTTTGGCCTCATCTTCAGGATTTCTTATATGGGTCTTGTTTTCAAGCTTATTTTATGGATCTTTCTCGAGCTTCTTAATGTAACACCCCACAGGGTCGGAATCAAAGAGATCCACGATTCGAAGTCACAGCTTCTTCTTCCTCTTCGGCGGTGAGACTATACTGTGTTCATTCATTGCTGCATAAATACAATAAAGCTGCTATTTTTTATTTTGTTGGTGGGAAAAGCTGCCATTTTTTAATGCACCCAATTGATCGGCCCCCCAAAAGGCGCATTCTGATGCAGATCAACAGAAACAGGTCTTTCTTCGACCCCATCCGGTAGTGCGTGGCGCAACTAGTTTTCAAGCTTTTTGTCTTTTTCTTTTTCCAACCAGAACATTGTTTGCAAGCATTTCAAGTGCACCTGCTATTTTGCAGCATTATCTTATTTTAAAAATGATTTGTAATTTCTCACCTGGTTGTTTACTTTAAGTTTAACATGCTAAATAAAATATCTCAATTAAATGCTTAATCACATATAGCTGAATGAAAAATATAGATAAGTAAGTTTTCTTCGAATTATTGTTCATATAATTTTTTTCTGAGCATCTTAGATATAATTGTTGTATTTAAAATATTTTTCTCTTAAGACATCTTTAATAGGAAAAATGAAAGTCTTTTATCGCTAAAGAGAATCTGAATTAAGCAAATAAAGTGCATTCATATTTAAAGAAATTATATGAAATTAACCAAGAGATTGAGTCACTTTCCTGCATATAAGTTTATATTTTTAATATAATTTAGATCCAACACCTTTTGTGATGAGGCCAGTGTGATGGAATGTACTCCTCCGGTCCTTAATATAAGACCTATTTAACTAATTTGATTAGATTAATAAAGTTAGATAAGTTAGTTAATTATAGGGAATGCGACACATTTTTTCTAAAATATCATAATCATCTTTCTTAATACCCCATCTTCTTCTTCTACTTAATTATAATTGAGGGAATATCCAGAGACGTAATTTAAAGAAAATTGATAAATATGAGAAATGTGTTTTATATTTAGAACCAAAACCAACTCAACAATTGGATTCTATATTAAATACTGGAGGAGTATAATAAGACTATTTTGGGAAATGATGGGTTGTCCACTTGATTCACTTGGCTAAATGCAACGATCTTAAGTGAAGTCTGGATTTTTTTTAAAGAGTTGTGAAGATGTGGTCCATTGTTGGCCAAACAGATATTGGCAATTTACGTTATTTATTTACATCGTTTAAATTAAATTCGGTCAATTGATTTTGTTTTTGGTTCGGTCTAAAATTATAGTGGGTAGAGCCCATGGTATCATGAATTATTCTTTTTTGGTACAATCACTGTTTTTTTTGTTAATTGTTATGCATGGGCATCTAGAACTTTTAAGTCCAAATATTTTCCTAATTGGATCCAGAGTTTCATTATAGGCCCACATTCTTAATTCAGCCCATATGTTTTCTAAATATATTTTGTAAAACAAAGGATAAGTTTTGATATCCCTTGTTAGTAACATTATTTTCAAGACTTGTATTGATATATAGCAACAATTTTCATTTTAAGCCTTGTTGTATTAATAAAGTTCACTAGCCTTCCATACTTACTTCATGACCTAATATTTTCAATTTAGATAAATAGTATTTGGAATCATATCTGATCTAACATAATTAGAAATGTCTATTTATTTGGAAAAAAAACTGACAGAAAATCTGATGAATTATTGTGAAATAATGGTTTAAATCAGACTAGGTCTCAGTACATTATGGTTTTTTCTAGCTTTTAGTATTTTTGCCCCTTCCCCCAATTTCTTTCTTTGTTTTTTAACTCACACCTTTCTTCTGTACACCAAAAGAGGAGAAAATACTATAGCAATTAGTCATTTGCCTTAAAAGATCAAGTGATATAATAAGATATGGAAGTTTTCACATTTAATTTTAAAGCGTTTTTATAATAAAGGTCGTAATTTTGCGTTTAGGCTTACTAACCTTTAGTTGTTCAACTTTACTTGATTTAAGTCCACCAAATTTATTTAGGTCTTTACCTGGAACTTATGAACCCAGGCTGTCGCGAATGCTCACTGGATAGTATATATTATAAATTTGTTGTATATATTTTTTTTTTATCTGTTTAGAGGCTCAAAAAAATTTATAAAACACAAAATTAGCTTTTATTTTATTTAATTTTTCATGCCATAATATGTCATGAATGGGTTTAATGATAATATAAATTGGGAACACGAGGCGGCAACTAATGGGTTTAGAATACGCCAATATTGGCTTTGAGGTATGGGCTCATATGGAAGAATATAGGTTTATAGATGATGAAGCAATAAGAGGTATATGGAGGAAGTGAAGAGCTTTGTGAATTGTCTTCTCTGATTATTTTTATTCCCTTCACTCCGTATTTCTCTTATATTTGGCTTTCCATTAAATCACCCTGTTCTTAAAACTAGTAGAAATATTGTCTTGAAGGATTTACTGCAAAGTGTATGAGAAAATAATCAAATGGAAGAGATACAAGAAAAGACTACTTATAACTTTAGAGTTTTAATCTTCTTGAGAAAATGATAAAAAAATATTTGTCAAATTCCAAAATAATAAATAAGTGATTTTGACATGTCAAACCATTACAACAGTAATTAGCAGCACTTGTCATTTTGAAATTTAACAAGTATTTTTTTAATCATTTTCTCTTTGATCTTTTTTTAGCCTTATAGTATATCTCACGTAAAAAGTTTTTGACACCTTTCTTTTTGCAAGAAAAAATTGGTCAATAATGGTTTTTAAAGACAGGAAGTTAACACGCAGTAGTTTTACAAAAGTTAGAAAGCAACTCAAAATGTTTTCCATCTTTGTTTTCTACTTATAAACGCGTTAATCATGTCGCTTAACATCTTCGTTTTCTTCTTCCTTTGGACCTGGTCAGGAAATCGCTTCCGTGGAAAAAATGAAGCTAAAAGACAAGGAAAGGAGTAGGTGAAGAAAAATCGAACTAAAGATGTTTTATGTATAATGACTTTGGAGGTTAAGTAATGTTTATTTGTATGTGAATAGACTTCTTCTTTTTCCCTTAGCGTTGCTTTATTTTGTAGATAATTATTACCAATTTTTTAATCTGTATTTTAACATGGAGACAACAAGAAACTGAAAGTACTAAGAGAAGAAACAATCAAACCAGTAAAAAGCACTTTGCATACATTTCTTGCACAGATACAGGTGTGAGATTTTACCTTTAGTTTTTTCTTCCCGCCCAGATTTTCCATTCATCTATAAATACAGCTATTTTCCATTCATCAAACCAGATTTAGCAGCCACAAATGAGGAATTTGCCATTGCGTTTAGTTCTTTGTCTCCAACTCTTTATCTTTCTCTCCCTTTCTTATTCCTTTGCTTTCCCATCCTGTCGTCCTGAACAAAGCTCAGCCTTGCTAGACTTCAAAAACTCATTTGCCATTCGAAAACCCCATCCTTCTTCTTCAACTTCTGAGTATTGTGATTATTATGAAACCATATCGTACGCCAAGACATCAACTTTGGAAAAATGGTACCAATTGTTGCTTATGGGATGGGATCACTTGCAATCCATTTGGTCATGTGATTGGCCTCAATCTTAATTGTAGTTGGCTTCACGGTAAACTCCTTCCCACCGGCAATTCTCTCTTCCAGTTTTCCCATCTCCAAAGGCTTGACCTTAGTGCCAATGACTTTCATGGGTCCCAAATATCATCTAATTTTTCACAACTCGAAAGTTTAACACACCTATCCTTGCATTACTGTAATTTTATTGGTGAAGTTCCACATCAGATTTTTCATCTTCACAAATTGGTTTAAATTAAACTCTTCGAGGATTTGAATAATCTCTTTCTTCAAGAGAAAACTTGGGAGAAACTCACAAGAAACGTAACTCATGTGAAGGTTCTTCGTCTGGTTGGTGTGGATATGTCATCAATAACTACGAGCCATCTATTCAAGAATCTTTCCTCTTCTATGGTCTCTCTTTGGCTTTCTAATGCTGGATTACAAGGGAAGTTGGATGGAAATATATTTTCATTTCCCCACATTCAATTCATAGATTTGAAATATAATCCAAATCTCAGAGGCTATCTTCCGAAGTCTAATTGAAGCAATTCCATTAGAATTTTGAATCTTTGTAACACGAATTTCACAGGAAAGTTGCCTCATTCCATTGGCCATATGAAATTATTAAATGTATTGGTTCTCTCATCATGCCAATTCGATGGAGAAATCTCACCATCCTTATGGAACCTTACACACCTTACTTATTTGGACATCTCCCACAATAATTTTTCCAGTCAAATCCCATCCCTCTCCGATCTTCAAAATCTCACTGATCTTGATTTATCTTCAAATAATTCTAGCCGCCAATTTCCAGACTCAATTTCAAAACTTGAAAATCTCCACCATCTAGATTTATCAACCAATGGCTTCCATAGAATAGTTCCTTCTTGTTTTCTCACCCCACCGTCTTTGAATTTTTTGCATTTATCTTCTAACCAATTCACTGGTTACATTAGTGAAATATCCTCTTTTTCAATAGAATTTCTTGATCTATCTAACAATAGGTTGTATGGCCTAATCCCAAAGTTAGCAACTATATTTCTATCTTACCAACAAAACCATCCTTTCAACAAGCAAACTTTAAGTTCTTACACAATTTTACCCAAGTTCTACATTTAAACAAGCTCTCTCAAGCATCACTTAAGTGAAGAGAACATCTAAATAGTGATCAAGCACTTAGAAGCATTAAGCAAGGGGTAAAATAAATGCATATATATCATTAATCACAAATGAGAGGAGGAATCAAGAATTTATCCATACAAAGGTTCAAAATAATCCTAGAATCAAACCTTTAGCCAAACATGTTTAGAACTCACATGAGAACATACATATATTTAGCACAAACATTGAACAAGAGGAAGGAAAAGGAGAATGGAGAAGAAAAACCAAGATGTGAACCCAAAACCTCTTCCAATCTTCAAATTCTGACTCAACCTCCATCAAAATCCTTGTCCTAGCACACCAAAGAGTTCCTAAGATGGCCCCAATAGTCCAGAATGCCCAACCATCACGTTTCTTCTTCCATTTAACCCTAATAGCGCATCAGTGATTGAAACACACAATAGCGGATTTTCTTCATTTGTTGTAGATTGACCGTGGCGAATCAACAATAATAGCCACAAATTTCCCCCCTCTCGAGCTGCATTTTCCTTGCCTTCACTGTAGCTATGGCTG